CAATATGACTTTGAAATGGGGGTGCTATTGTATTGGCCAATACTGTACATACATAAATAATTAATGTATGCATGTAAGTTGTGTAGTGCGAAAAAATGTATACCCGAGATCCACACTCTGAATGGTAGATACAGATGAATAAAAAAACTAAAAACCCTAAAAACAGGAGTTGTTTTAATTATTAATAAATGGTGACAACATAAAATTCTGGCGTGGAATAAATTGAAACTAACCAAAGCACCTAGAAAATAAAATCAAGTTCCGTTTAAATTAGACATTTTTTTTTTTTATTATTTATATTATTTATTAGAAAAAATAGTTAAAAAAAAATTCCTTTGAAAAAATTGTAATAAATATGGTCAGAGTTTCAATCGACTTTAAAAAAATGTATACAAATGATTTCCTAATAACACACACTCTTGAGACACGATAATATACGTAAATTTAATTAATTTGCGCCTTTACTTGCTTAAAAGCAACTCAAAAATTCGAATATTAGCATATTCAACTCCAGCAGCATCATCGTTGCGCTCTTCCCTTTCATATGACACCCAAATCATTAAAATCGGTGCAGATTTGCCTTAGTTATGCGCAAATAAACATTTGTAGCTGAGTTGCGCTTTTAGCAACATTGTTGTGCATCACATGCAACATGTGGCGGGCAGCTGCTGAGCGGTGCTGCGCGCCTGGTGCTCTGGCCTGTCTGACAAATTCGGCTGGCTGTCAGCGGGCGACCAAAGTGATGCCTACTTTTAGGCGTTTTTTATTCGGCACAGGGCGACACTAAATGCGATGAAAACACAGAGCGACTCAGATGAAAATGAATTTTTTGAAAACTGAAATTTTGCAATTTACAAAACTTTTCAGTTAAGTGCAACTTACTTAAGACCTTTTTAGCATAAAAATCGGAAAATTTTATATTTTTAAAAATGTTTTATTAATTTATTTTAATTTAAGCATTATTTTATGTACTTATCGTTTTATTAAATATACACAACTTAGCATGACTGTTATGTTTACAATACTTATACTATTTTTTTATATTTTAAGTGCTTACACTAATTGCAGCATTTATAAAATAAGAGTTGAATATATTTTTTTAATAAAAAAAAATACTTAAACCATTTGCATCACGTTTTGGTCTGCTAACAATTATACGAAGTTTTTGTATGTTTTTTTGTTTTTTTAAATATTTACAAAGAATTGGGAAACTACAAATTTCGCTGGGGAAACGGGTAAGAGGAGAGCTGCCAAAACTTAGCTACATATCTATTCATCTACATAACTTTCGAACACATTTTAATACCTATTTATTTTTAATTTTACGTAGGTAACTTTGTTATTATTTACATATTTGTAAGAGATTTTATTTTAATAAATTTTTACGCCATGTTCGAAAGCTAATTGACATTTTATCCAAAATTTCATTTATGCATATTTGAGTCGAGCCAGCAGTTATAAATAAGGTAAGGTTAAAATTTGGGATAGTCACTTAAGTGGAGATTTAATTTTTTTAAAGCAATTTTTACGGCGAAATCTCACTAATTTAGGCACTTCTCGAGAACAATTCATAACAAATTTGGAATCTGGGACTTGACTATCTGAAATTGAACGAAACCTGTGGTCTTTTTTTTAAGAAAAACTGCCCATTTTACATTACAATTCAACTTCACAACAAAATTATGCCATATCGCTCTGGTCCATTCACAAAACTCGGGCAACAAAAAAAAAATACTCGAAGAAAAATGGTCGCTTTGTTTGTGTTACATTTAAATTTTTCGTTTCCCTTCTTTAACTAAACACTAAGTTTAATCAGGCGTGTGTTTGTCATTGTTATCGATTTAATATTATTTTTTTTTTTTTAGTTTTTTCTATTGTTAATATTTTAAGTCTAATATTGTTGTATACGAACACCAACAAAAGCGGTGGAATCCACTCGTACGACACGAGTTCCTCTACATGGCACAGCCGCCATTTTGTATGCCTCCTCAAAATGGACGTCCATTTGTAGTGTTGCCATAATATGAAGGTCGTTCTGGCAGCTTGGGTGGCGCATTCGGCACCGGGCGACTGTAAGGAGGCAAATCAAGAGAAAAAAGCAAAACAAAGAAAATTAAATAAAAAATAAAAATTTAGAAATAAATGGAGAGCGTAAAGAGAGCATAAGAATATAGAATTATTAGTCATAAAATTGCAAAAAGTGGTAAAATAATTAATTTTATAACTATTTTACATAGACAGTTCATAAGTTAAAGCAAAAACTCACCTTGGCTAATTGGACAATTTACAGTGTTTTGTTGTGGAAGCGTGTAACGTTAGGTAAATAGAGAAAGAGACCAGCACCAAAAAAGGATATGTGTTTTCTAGACACTAAATAGGCAAGCGGCAAATTGGATTTTAAATTTTTTTTATACTTTTACCTCTTATGCTAAATATGAGCGAAAGATGGTATTTTATTTTCAAATGCAAAAATGTAGTGATGCTA